GCTTACACAGTCTATTCATCATGCACTAACCCTTTTAAATTTATTTATGAATATACTCTTGCTCTAATGCTTCACCAAATGGAGGAATAACAACTGGCCAAAGAAGAGGAGCTGGGCTTTTTGCAGCCACGTTTTACCTGCCCCAAGGAACAGATCCTGAATTCACAGCCTCAGTTCAAACCCACTCCCTGAGCTGAGCATTAGTTCAGGCTAAAAGGATTCAGAGACTCCCCAGATTCAGTCAGAGGGAACAGGATCATCCATCTCAGGGGTGGACAACAAAGGAGGAAAAACACCAAGATGGCCAGAGAAGCTGGGGCTGCCCCATTCCTGGAAGTGCTCCAGGTCAGGTTGGATGGGGCTCTGAACAACCTGGTCTAGTGGAAGGTGCTCTCTTGGATTCTTGGGTAGGTTTGATTCACAAATAAGTCAGGCCTACAAGAGAGTTACTGTTGTGCTTTAGTAAATTCTGTGGTACCCTATGCTAAATTATTTCAGTTAGGCTTAAGTGCTGTTATAACCTTTAAGCCTAAACCACTGGTCAAGCCCTGGGCTAAGTTTGGCAAAGAGGGGTCTGCTCTGAACCTCGTGGCTCAACAGGAGGGTCTCTCTTATCCCCTTTTATCCTGACTCTTTATACCCTTACCCTTTTCCATCCCCACCCTCCACAATGAAAATTTTAGGTTGATTTTAGATTTTAGGTTTTGATTGATTTAAACTTTAGTCTGACTTCTCTCTGTGTGTGTTTTAACCACCTAGGAAAAGTAACAGAGTGAACTTTGACAACGAACCTTCTGATGCTTTCACTTTACAACCTCCTTTTGCCTGTACCTTTGCTGGTGATTTTTTTGAGGGACCTAAAACACTCTTTTGTGACGAAATTAGTGATGCATCTGTGGCAGTGCAGAGAAACAGAGACCCCCCCTGGAGTGTCACCTTATCAATGAAGCCTTTTAAATATAAAATACATCCTTGCTTTAAGAGCTCCACCTTCTACCTGTTGACTCCCTGTTACATCTCTGAGGGGTCCTGCACTGCTCCATCCCAGAAACGTATTCTCACAGACAGAACAGAACAGATTCAAAGCCTCAATAAGCACCAATTTATATTAAAATTAGGGCCCTCCACACCCTCCAGACAGCAAAGCCATTAAAACACAAGACTCAATATCTGCTCTCTCCCCTTCACATCACCAGGCTGGTGAGTGTACCAGCTATTGTACACGTAATTGTGAGGAGTGCTAAGTTTTGCCTATCATCTTAAAAATCAAGCAGTTAAAGGGTATTTCAGAAATACTTAATGGGATTTTCCCACCAGTAAACCCTGTGCTCGGTGGTACATTTTAATAACAGCAGAATCAAAATCTCATTTATGGACTAAGAAGGTTGTTCTGAGGGTAACATTCGGGGAGGCTTTGCCAGAGAAAACAGAAGACTTAATAAGAGCAGGGCTCAAGAGTATTAGTAAGAAAAGTTGTGAGCTGCCTACAGGCTTTTTCTCTTCTGGTATCAGAGGGGAAGAAAAGCCCCTGTGGTTGATTCATTATGCCATTTCATTTCTTCATATATAA